TCACTCAGGAATTCATGTTCCTCAGAACACACTTGAGGATTATACTTCAAGAGAGCAACAAGAAATGAGATATGGAGGCACATACACGTATTCCTAGTACTCTGGGAGACGGAGGCAGGAGGACGGCGAGTTCAAGGCCAGTCGCGACTACTTACTGAAACCCTGTTTCAAAACTGCAACCAAAGATTTCAGAAAGGGCTGGGGATGCAGGTGAGTGCAAAGGGCCTAGGTGCCACATCCACACTGAAGGACAGGGAGAGGGAAGAGAGAGCAAAAGAAAGAGAGAATGAATAAGATCCATCCTAATGATATAAACAATACAAGGTATTCTTTGTGATTATAACAGAGTAACTGTCCCTTGCCAAGGTGGTGTTCACGTGCTGAAGGAGTGTAACTAGGGCTTTGTGTGGAGTGCAAATCTTATGCACCTCGTATATGATATAAGTTAATGTCAAGATTTCTCAGGGGTATTTGTTTAAATTCTTTTTATGGGAAGAGTTATCAATTCACATCCCCCTGTTGATTTCCTTTGTGACTAACAACACATTTTTATAAAACAATTAACCAGTTTATAATCTCTGTGTTAGCAAAGCTAAGTAACCCATAATGACCTTGACCTGGGCAATCTCTAGTTACGCTGGGTTAGTAACAAAGGGAAGTAAGTGAAATACCAAACGACCCTCTTTCTAAGATTTTTCTCTGTAACAATAAATGGAGAATTGGACCATGCTTCAGAACATCTAATCATTTTAAGGAAAAATCATTAAAGAATTGTTAACACGACACACGACAGACTCCAATACAATGAGTAAACCTATATTTCACTATTATTAAGAATTATTATTATTATTTACTTCAGAGATATATGTTAGGAAGGAAAATAAGTAACTCAAAATTGGGTGGAAAATCTGAGCACATTTGGCAGAAAAGAAATCAGAGGTCTGCAGACATTATAACTAACCACAAACTAGTAGTACCATATTGTCTCAGAGTGATAGAGGCAAAACCCAGTGTTAGGAATGGTGGTAGAATTTATCACTTACAGCTGGAGTCGTAAACAAAAACGTAGTCTTCTGCTAAATATACTAAAGAAAATATTTTATTTTCCTTCTGCCTTATGAGTGTATATAGATAGGTGAAAATCACTTAATATTAGCAAGGTAATATAAAGGACAGACCAATCATAGCATTAATAGATATGCTCTTACAAAAGTTTTGGTGTTGTAATAACTCTACTCCCACCACCATTAAAATAACAACTACAAATATAACAAGTCCAGTGGTTCATACTAGTTTAACAGTTGTGTAAGTCTACACATCCATACCAGCATAATTTGAAGTTCCAGTAAATAACATTGATTTGTGTACCATTCAGACATACAGTACCTGGGAAGTTCATTCAAAGTCCTCTACCTGAGCTCCACCCAGACCTGACACACACATGCTCTGCAGGGGCCTGGACTATGAATTGAAAGACAATTCCAGAGGCAAGAGATAAGAACAAGCTCCTTCAACTGGTCTAAAAAATCCCAAGGTGTCTTAAAATTAGAGCAACTTCTTCCCGTTAAGATTCTGTCACTAAAGTCACTGCACCCATTACTATACCAACACCTACTATTGATTCAGCTATCACTTGTGAGAGCCTTCATACAAAGGAAAGCAAATGTGGTCAGGCATAAGAGCAAGGAAAGAAGAGCCTAAGTCAATCCTCCTGAAAGGATGAAAGAGACATGCGCAAGTGGGACCTTCCAGTGGGGAAACTCTGGAAAGGTAATGAAGATTTTGGCACACAGACAAAGAGATGCTCAAAGACACACTCGGTCATCACTGCCACCTCAAGCAGCATTTATCCATAACATAGATTCAGAGCTCTCTTTAATGTACTCTCAATCCCACAACATTTCTTAAGGTGAAATCTATACATTTACATCCTCATTAACTGCAAGTACAAGTTCCCAGAACTTACAAATAGTTTTCATATGTCTTTGCAATGTTCTTATCTGTTTCACTCACACAGCACATCAATACAACACCAGAAAGCTTCTACTTACATGAAAGGATTTGTCATGAATTTTTTTAAATTCTTCTCAAGTCCTGAATGACTACAATATTTGAAAGCACATAATTTGATGGTGAGCAAACAAAAATATTAAAACCTCTATTTTCTTAAAGCGTCCTTGCAATAAATACGTTAATAAGTTTATTATAATTATGTTTTGCAATGCCTTTCTACATGTTCTTTTAAAAAGTCAGTTGAAGGCAAAACTCAATACCCACTGATTTTTTTTACTTACGACATAAACTTTATGAGATGCAGATGGCATCAGCTCCATCATTGATTCCTTGAGGATTCCTATGATAGGTTGCAAATGTCTATTTTCAAAAGTCCCGTGTATGTTGTTCTATCAGTCAATTGATAACATTTTGACCTCTAACCAACCATAGCACGAAGATTCAAAATTAATGTTGACACTCTGTCCTTTAACTTGTTCCAAATTACTGCAGGGGTTTTTTTTACTGCCTGATGTTTCACCATATGTGCAGACTCTAGATACAGCCAGAGGGGTTAAGCAGGATGCCTCTGTATTCTGCCATTCTCCTGCTTCCTGTTGTTTTTGGAACAACTCTTCCTTTAGCTAAACACAAGCCTTCTGGGCAAATCATTTTTAGTAAGAGAGTGCAGAGAGCACCCTGTATGCTGATTACACTTCTGAAACACTACAGTCTGTGCGATTCATAGAACTCACTGATTTGACATTTTGCCGTCTTTACAAAACCCACCCATTTTATGAAAAAATTAGCAAAAATTACAAAACTACTTACCACACAAGTTTTATGAATAAAAATCCAGTTATGAAATGCACAACAGGAGGAATTCTTTTTGAAATATTTTGTTCTGTCATATGATAGCGATTACTGGCAGATTTTCAAAACCTTTTCCATATTCAAGTTAATCTTAATTCCAAAGTTAGTCTTATCTTTGATAACAGGTATGTTTACTGATTGCACTCTTAATAGGTCAAAACCCGAAAAAACCTGCTTAGTTTTACATTCAGAATTATTTTTGCCTGATATGAGAAAAATGTGAGAAATAAGGGAATACTAACTACAAGTGAATTATATCTTTAGTTTCAGCAACTCTTACAAGGCTGATCACAGGAAAAAACATCCACAGAGAAACACATGGATCATCTTAAAATACATATAACTTCCCCAAATGTCTATTCCCTTGAGTATTCTGTAAAGTAGAACATTTAACTCTATATAATTCAAAAAAAATCTATATATAGCTTAGAGAGAGAGAGTCATAAATCTCATGGGTCTCAGATTCACTTCCTGTTACCTTCTTTCATTATATGTTTAAAGATAATCAATAAAAACTGATTTCTTTTTGTAACTATTCTCCTATTCTGCCAGAAATAATAGCAGCCTCTGCCCTAAAATGAAGAAAAAATAGAAAGTAATATTTACCATAAGACAAGAAAATGGAACTGCCTAAGCATTTTCCTGAGCCAAGAGACACAAACAGCAAATCCAGTTGATTCTTAAAAAAAAAAAATTAAATACCCTTGGCATTAATACGATTCTAAAAATCTGCGATATCGACAAGTTTCCCAACTCTGCGTTTATATTCCTGCTTTCAACAGCAACCTTTTTTTATTTCCTAATAGTTTTAAGATATTTCTTAAACTTAAGATACATATTACAGGCAAAACTTTTGTCACTGTTGAATACTGAAGCAGTAAGGAAGGAGCCATCATTTGCCAGAGCAGACCAAGATCCAAAACCACAGGGGGAAAAGAAAGAAAAAAACTGAGGCGAACAAAGTTAATTTAAGTTAAGGGATTAAAGGACTAAAAACAAACCTCTTGTGTCAAAACACAAAATTTCTTGTCACTTGCATTTTCAGTGTACATAAAACATTGCTTGAAAGTTTTATATCTAAGATTCTGGGTAATCCATGGGGATTCTCTAATATCTGCACCCTATCTCAGAACTATTAGTTTTTAATGTGTTTTCTTCTGTGTTCTTCACAAAAGACTGTAAGAAAATACCAAATGGGAAAGTAGCAGACCTTTCACTTGGTCACGAAGTTACAAGTACATTTTATAAGTTTTCCAGGTTTCCTATTTCCCTTCAGTCGGCGCTATCTGTAAGAGGTTGTCATACAATAAATCAGACAAGTTTAGCCAGTCAGGTTGAAGAATGAAGGTGAAAAGCTCCGTGGAAAATACATAAAGTACAATTAAAACCATATGACCAGCGATATTGAAGCAATATTTGCTGGAGAAAAGCCAAGTCAAAATCAAAACTTTCTTAGCGTTAGTGAAACTATCCAGTCCATTTGGGACAAGCAACACTTCGTTCACCCACTACAGTATTATTCTTTTCTCTCTCCCACAGCAAAAGTACGCAGGGAAGTTGAGTCCTAGGACAGTAATTAAGCCTAGCGAAATCTTTTTGGTATAGTTAAGTTTATAGTCATTAATACAAACTGATCTATCAATTAAAGCAGTAATATTTATTTAGAAATATAGTTTAACATTGAGCAAGGGTCAATTTTATATCCAATGGAGAGTAGTAGAGGTTTTTATGACAATGTTAAATCAAATTTTGCATTTCTCTACAAACCTTTGCCCTTAAATACTAAGTATTCTAGTTAAAACAATGATAATCTAATTGCCTATAGTTACATTTTAAAAAGAAGCTATAAAATCCAAGCTATCTCTCCTACTACCACTTAGGTTATGATCTAGCTGTTCTATCTCACATAGTTGGTACTTAGCAGGCCAATGGTGTAAATGTCTAAGGATGTATAGAAATTAAGAGCACTCTAAGCTGTAAACTCTAGTAGAAATCTGTGATCAAAGCCATTCCATATCTATTTCTCCTGTGCATTCCAAGTGTCATTTACAATAATCTCAGTAGACAAATGAAATATAATTTTCAATATTGCTTTGGGATTCTGGCAAACAGCTCAAATGTACTAAGTCACTTACCCCCCAGAAACTGAATTCCTCCGGCCACTCTTCCTACTGTCCTGGAGATGAGCTCTGATACACAACAACCCATGAGGGCCGTGAGCGCCACCAGGAGAAGCAAGCCACAACCCAGGCCGGTGACTATGGTACAGATTCTCCATTCTGTGCTGGGGATGCCCTGGAAGGAGGCATAGCGCCCACATTCCTCCACCATCACCATCATCTGCCGACTCTCGTCGTGCACCGGATAGGAGCATCTCCGGAAAGTACCGAAGGACACTGGCTTGCCCAGCTGTGATCCCCAGAGCCAGTAGGGCATAAAGAAGCCCACACAGGAGGTGGCAGCACAAAGAAAAGAGAGGAAAGCCCAGATCACCCCGGTACAGGTCAGGCTGGATGCCATCTTTCACCAAACTGGGCAACGAGGACCTGAAGTCAGTGTTCTGGGATCACAGGTGTGAGTGAAGGTGTGAAATCACCAGGCAGCCACAGGTAATCCACAGTTCCAAAAGGAAAGAGTGTCCATTAGCAAAATGGATTCTCAGTCTTACTGGGCATCAACTTCCCATCCTCCGTGGTAAAGATGACCATCCCTGTTAAAACAGGAATAGAGAACATTAAAAGTTAAATATTCAAGAGAAATACTAACACACAGCTGGTTTGCAAATTTAAGTAAACAAACATTCAAACTTGCCTCAACATTTCAAAATTCAAAAGAACTAATTTTCTCTGTAAACTTCTCTATAATTCAAATTCTATCCAACCCGCTCAAAGCTTCTTCATGTCTTTTTCTCCTGCAAATGCTCCCAAATTAACTCTGACAGCTATTTACTTAAAGAAATGCATAACTTCTATTTGCTGAGCCAGGACATTCATTTCACTTACTCACATTAAAAGTAATGTAGCATTTTTACTGGCAGTAAACATAATTCAGGATATTAAAACAAAGTGAACCATACTGTGGTTTGTTGACTTCCAAGTACAAACTCATGGTTTGTAGCAACTTTTCTGTGCCCTGTTGTGCGTGAAATTAACTCTCTGAGCCCAAATCAAACAATTAGGATAATTTTTTCATGGGAGAGCATGATAAATTCAATAAACATTATAGACCTTCTAAGCACCTACACTAGACAGTACTATTGCCAGACACTTCCAAGTATCAATCAGCAGCATTTGAGAATTCCTTCAGTCTTAGCAACTATCTTCTCGCGTAGAGTCTGTGCCTGTGTGACTTATTTTCGCATCTGCTCTTTTGATTCATTAGTTCCCATGATTTCAAAGCAATCATTTCTCCTGCCCAACTACTGTCTAACCCGAAAGGTAATCTATGCTCTTTCATACTTGACATCAATACTAGTCACCTGAATGGTTGCAGGCATACACATACACAGTACCTCCACTCCTTTTCAAAACGAGTTCCTGAACGATTTCCCACAGTCCATAATGAACACAGACGCACACAGGCCATCCACCGTAGAGTTCCAACCCTGAACTCCTCCCTAACTCCAGCTTTAAGGGTCCACAGCAAACCTTTTCCCCCTACCCGTCACCATCTCTTCCCCAGACACGGCCCTGTCTCCAGGTCTGGGCATCACCCAAGGAAACAAGCGGCTACTTTTTCCCCTCTTAATTAATTGTCAGCCGCGGTCAGCGGTTGAAGTTGGTCTGTCTCGGCCAGAAGGCTGGGGGAGACGGGCCGGAGCTGACGTGGGGAAGGGGGCGCCCTCATCCCCAGCGAGGCGAGGGTCAAGCTCCCCGCGACTGTGTGTCACCCACCCAGGGAAACACAATGATCCCTCAACTGTAGTACAGGGAGGGGGTGCTGCTGCGGGCTGCAGGCGAAGGGAGGCAGAAGGACGGGAAGGCAGCACCCCCCGGAGGCGGACGCGACAGCAGACCGGCGGGAGGGCAGAGCCCGCGGGGAGCCCGGCTCGGGGGTCCGGCCCGGGCGCTGGGGGGCGCGGGGCGCGGGCAGCCGCGCGCTCTACTCACATGGCCGCGGGCGGCGGCCGCCTCCTCTCGCGGGTCCCGGGCGCTCCACAACTTGCTGTCTCTCCGGGACGGACCATGCACGGAGCGGGCCACGGTCCTGGCCGCCGGCCGCTGTCCGGAAGCCGCAGAGCCCGGGCGACGTGGGCGCGCGCGGGGCGCAGTGGAGACCCCGGCCGGCGGAGCCCGGGCTGCGCGGAGCGGCTCTGCCCGGCTCCAGGCTGCACCGCCCCCTCTGGCCCGGCCCGGCCCGGCCTCCGCCTCCTCCTGTCCCCTCCCCTCGGCCCCGCGGGACCCGGCGCAGACACCGCGGCGAGGACGCCGCGCCGCCGCCCACGCGGGCCCGACCCCGAGGCCGCTGCCGGGGCCGGGCCGGGCCGGGCCGGACGGAGCCCCCGCCGCGCTCGCGCTGCCCTCCGGGTCGGCGGCTCCGGAGCGCCGAGGAAGTAGCGGGCCAAGTTCGCGGCTCCTCCGAGAGGGCACCGGCGGGTGCCCCTGGGGTTGGGCTCTGTGGCCGTAGTTTTCCTACCGCCGTGGGGGACTTAGACGGGAGCAGGCCTGAAAGAGCGGGGAAGGGACCTCGCCGAGCCCCGGGGGCTTGGAGCAGCACGCGGTGTGGACTGAGAAGGCGCAGGGAGCCGCGGCGCCGGGCTCGCGCACTGCACGGGGCAGCTGGCCTTCGGGCAGGCCGAGGAGAAGCCCGGGGACTCGGGGAGAGGGAGAGGGCCGCTCGGGTGTCTCCGCCAAGAGGGTCCTCGGCGTCCCCATCTCTACCTCCTCCTGCTCCCCTCCCTCTTCTCCCCATCTCTCTCTCTCTCCTGTCCCTCGTCCTGTTACACACCTCCGCTTCCTGCTCATCAACCTTAATACCACTATTGGATTTGTTCTTTGGGGAAAAAATTAATTTTTATTTTCCCTCTCGATGTGGGGTCTATTTTTACTTGTCATTAGCACCAGCTCATTTTTAAGTTTAGAGCTAGATTCAGTGGATGACTGTGGGAGTCTGCTGAAGACAGTATTTTAAGAAACAGACCATCTGGGAATAGCAGTCTTTGAAGTAGGTGCTTTCCCCAAATAGTTTGGTAATATGTCTTTTCAAAGTAGTTGAAATAAATCAGTAGGTTTATACTTTGTAATAAATTTTCAGATCACACCATGTAATTAATCATGATGGTACACTTTTTTTTTTTTTTTTTTTTTTTTTTTTGCCTTCAAGTATAGTTGGAGAAGTGTATTTTGTCCTTATTAGTTTAACAGGTTTTAAATGATTGGTTCCAATCCTTTTAAGGCGAAAGGTCTTTATAAGAATACAAAAAAACTAAAATACATAGTTTTATCATAAACTTCTCAAAAGGGAGAAGGAGACAAGACATTTGGCAAAGTCTGGAGATATTTTTGTTTAGCATGACCTGTGACAGGAAAGCATTACTGGCATCTAGTGGGTAAAAGCTAGAAATTCTGATAAATAAAATATTCAGAACAACCCCTGGAATGATCCAGCCCAGAGGGTCAAAAGAGCTAACAGTCGAGAAAACCTGTCTTAGTGGAATGTCCGATGACTCTATGTCCTGAAGTTCATCCATAAATCAGAGGCTTAGAATCCTTGATTTCAATTGTTTTAATTCTGCTTGCCCAAATTACTAGTTACCTGACTTCGGTGGCACCATAATGATTGGTCTGACTTCAGTTAGGTACCACACCCTTAGTTATTACACAGAATTTTCACATCAACATAATGCAAAGGTAGAAGATATGATCATATAAAGGCAAAATAATAATAGTTTCAGTCTCGTCTCCAGTTCAGCCTGCTGGGAAAATTGGCCTGCCGTACTTTCTCAAGCTTGGAGAAGTTTAATCTACTTGAGATGGACAGCCAGGGAGACATTAATGCCAACCCTAGTTACCACTGCTTGAGCCTTTGCTGACTGTTATTTTACTTTATAGTTTATTAATACATTACTGTAGCTCACCTTAAAAAACTATAAAGTTGTGATGACTATTTTGCAGAGGATAAGTAGTTTACCCCCAAAAAAGTTACAGCTAAAAAAATGAACTTTTAAAAATTTCATTATTTGCTGTCTGTTAAACAGTAAATGCCATTAGAGAGATTGTTGGACAAAAAAGAAACCAAATGCTTAAATTTCCATCAAGATGCAAGCAATAGCAATTAATTTTGAGAGTCTTTTGTGCTATAAACTGAGACTTATATTTCTATGATAAATGAATAAATTTAGATAAATAATGATCTGTTATCTCTTTTGTAAAGAGCTTGGCTTTTAATGTTCCCTTACTTTATGACTCTCATGTGATGATTCTGTAAGAATTCGTATTTAAAACAAAGTTTCCGGATCATCTAATCTTGTTTGAGGGCATAATTTTACAGATGAGGAGATAGGCTCAGAATCCTTCCAGGATCACATCTAAGATTGAGGACTGGAGTCCGTGGATCTGGAGTTCTCGTCATCCCGCTATGTAATTATCTTCCCAAACTATAAAATTTTCTGAATTACTCTTTGACTTCTTGCATGCATACCTTATAAGCAGAATGCATTGTAACATCTCTAAAATCCCTGCATTCTTTTGCATCTTCTAAGGATCTTTACTTCCCAGCCAGAATTTCCTTCATAGCAATGCCACTTAAACCTCCTATTCCATGTCTGGGCTCCCTGTATGCTTGGATAGCAGTCCTATTGAGTCATAAAATGAGATCATGGATGTGGAAGCGTGTGGAATGCTGTAAGATATTTATGACAACACTTTTTGTTAGCTACCTAATACTAATTCTGAATCACCTCATCCTTTCCTACTAGACACTCTTCTGTTCTCCCTTAAAGTTAATAGTAGATACTTGATCCCCTTCTAGTGAGTCAACTAAGGTATGTTTGGGAAGACCATATGCATTGATAAAATAAGGAAACACGAGGCAATAGTTGTCTTACCATCCTGGCTGTTTTTGTGCACATCAGTAAAAGATGCAGTGTCTAGAACTGTGGCAACCATCTTGTAATCCTGAGAGGGAAGGATGTCACAGAGACCTGAAAACCAGCTCCATATCAAGGTGGACCTATTCACCTCCTTTGGATTTTTTTTTTTAAAAGTAAATTGTTGATTATTATGATTTAAGTAACAGTAAGTTGATATTTTTCCAGTAGCTGAAAGCATTCCTGACTGATAAAGCACTGTATAGATAAGCCATATGCTTAGTGGCAAGAAGTTCATATTAGTCAAGATGGTATCTCAGAATTTGGTGGTAGGAAGTAGACATTCAATAATTGAATGTGAACAGCTTACATGAATAGATCAGTATCATTGTGATTAATATCCTTGTTCTACTGCAGCCCACAAAATGGGTATTTACTGTTAAACAAATAGAGTATGATATGTGAAATTACAGAAGAAATATGATAGTGAATAATAGGAACCATGGAACTAATCACTTCTGACCATTGGGGAGAAGTCAGAGAAGAATTTATTTAGTTCACAGTATCCAGACTCTATTTCTGCTTTCTGTCCTACAGAAGTGTTAAACACTGAAATTTCCATTTTCCAAGCTCCACTGAAGTCTGAGTGGCCATGTGACAGTTCTGACCATTGAGTGCTGGTCCCATTGTATCCACTTCCTATCCCTTCCAACCCAGAAGATGGCTATGATAGCATCTGTCATTAGACACGAGATAAAAGGCAGAAAGACAAAAGTCAATACACTAAGAATGAGAAAATAAAATTTATGAAGAGAGTTGAGGTCACCCATATCTTCATTAGGCTGTTATATTATCCTTGGACCCTCTAGGGGTGAGAACGATGGCATTTTCATATTTAAGTCACTGTCCTACCTGTTAGACTGCTCACATTGACTCTTGTCTTGCAGTCAAAGAGCCAGCACAAGAGCAAAATGGAATATGTGTAGCACACCGAGACACAGCTGGGCAGGGAGAGGAGCGGAGAGCATGGTGTCAACATAGACACTCAAGTAAGAGGTGAGTGTGACAGGCATTCATTGTCTGCAGGCTGTGCTGCAGATGATGGATCCCCCTCAAAGTGTGAGAAAAAGCAACAGTTGTGGAAACAGTTTCTGAAATGTATCTGCTTGGAGTGTTCATGTTTGAACCATGCAGAGAGACAGAAGTTCTCAGGGTCATAAAATGACCTGATCCCAGGAGTTTTCCATTAACTAACTACAGATCGGTGAGGAGAGGTGTAGGAAGGAGGTGCAAAAGAGCTGTTTGACAAGAGACAGTGGAGAGATTTTCCTCATCTTCTTCTGGCTGTGGAGCTTATCAGGTCTTTATTTCTCAACAGATGCCATGAGATATCCAAAGGTTGCTCCACTAGCTGAAAAACTACAATCAGTTTACAGTAGAAAAACAGAGAGCAATGTTTGAAAAGAAAGTTGGAGATCATGATAAGTTCTTCCTTTTTGTCCTTTTCCTTTTTTTCTATATTGATAAATTACCTGTTCCCTTCATAATTCTCTTCTTAAGGTTAGTTTAATGGGATACTGCTCTGGTATTTGACTGCATTGTGTTTGTTATATACACAGGAAAAACAATCTCAGGGCAAGCGACCTCAAAGGTTTCCTGGTTCCCATTTCAGCTAATCTGTAAGTAAGATGGCATACTGTTTGAGAATGCTAATTCTCCAATTTGTATACATGTATTTACCATCGCTAGTCCCACATCCCATTAAATCAGTGTTGCCTGTGTCATTTTCTATACATTTTCTTTCAGATGTCCCTGACCCTCATTATGTCGATGTCTAACCACAGTAATTTGTATGACC